TCTCTCTCTCCGGTACTAACCTGTGAAGGTGGCGCCTTGTTGCAGGTACATCGAAGACGAAGCTGGAGCTATGGCGCCACAGGTAAGTCTCCCTGCTCTTGCCTTCTCTCTCTCTCTCTCAACGCGACTCTACCTCCTAGCAGTGGCCAGCGCTGAAGACTACTCTAGCGCTAGCTACTACTACTGCAGCGCTCCTCCAGAGTGCTGCTGCCGAATGCTGAAGACTGCCTCCTGCCTCCTGCACGCGAAGTGCCCGTGAACTGCCTGGGAAGTCCCTATCAGCTGCCTGCAGCCTGCAGGGTGGGCCAGTCTTATATAGTGCTGGCCCGTCCAGAAGGCTGCTCTTGCCAATGCTAAAACGTGCCAGACCCTGGCGTTGAAGTTCAACAAAGGTTGTCTTGAAAACAGGCCCAAAATGGCCTGTGCTATAACCCTGGTCTGGTGCCTAAGTTCCAGGGCAGGTCGATCTTATGAGGGCCTGAAAATGGCCCTTCGTTTCAGGCTGAAAAGACTCAGGGCCTGGAGGGCCCTTTTTAGGCTGAAATGACACAGGGCCTGTAGGCCCTTGTTTTCAGGCTTTCAGGCTGAAACGACACAGGGCCTGTAGGCCCTTGTTTTCAGGCTTTCAGGCTGAAACGACACAGGGCCTGAAAATGGCCCTCGTGTGCAGGCGCAGCATGTAACACCCCCCCCTCCTTATGAAGTCAAGCCGGGTTGAGGGCGAAGCTGACGATCTGAAGGTGGAACCTGGACGCGGGTGCGACATGGAGCCGAAGATAATGGCTTGCCTTGCATCTTGCGTTCGTAGCGTGCGAGAACATCTGGAGCTGTTGCTTAGAGTTCCGCACGGGTCAACCAACGGTCAGCTTTGTGGGTGCAGTACGCAAAGTGTACCAAGTATTCGGTCGGCCCGTTGCCATAGCGTCGCTGAGAGATGATGTTGCCGACCTCTTGAAAACCGTCTATAGAGGGTGGGTCTTGCATTCATCGCCCGGGAAAGTCGTCATGTTCCGCTGGCGTGTAAAGAGCCAACTTGGAGCAATGAAAGACAGGGTAGACGGGCAAGTGGGTGGGCACCTGAATGATGAAGGAAGGTCCTTCGGGTGCATCCCCAGCGGGTGCCATGATCGGCCAGGGCCCCATTCATTTCGGGAGGAGCTTGCGAGAGAGATCTTGTTCGAGGCTGAACTCCGTGGCGGAAACCCAAACGAGATCGCCGGTGCGGAATGGACAAGGAAGACGTTGGCGATCGGCCGTTGGCTCATGCGTTGCTGCATCTTCGCCATCTGGTCGTGTGCCTTGACAAGTAGCTCTTGCATCCAACGCAAGAAAAGAAGATGGTCGTCGCTCTCGGCCGCTCGTGGAATGATTGTGTCCAACGGCGAAGTGACCGGCGAGCCATGCTCGAACTCGAAGGGTGACATCCCGATAGCCGGATGGATGGACGAGTTGTATGCCAACTCGACATCCGGCAGCCGCTCAACCCAATCCTTTCGGTCAGGACGGATGAGAGTGCGAAGGAGAACCTGTGCGGTCTGATGCGCCCTCTCCGTTTGGCCATCGGTTTGGGGGTGGCGAGCCGAACTTCGCTTGAGAGATGAGCCCCATCATTTGATAAGCACCAACCAAAAATCGGACATGAACCGAGTGTCGCCATCGCAAACGATTTCCTTGGGGTAACCCTTGGTTTGAATCCAACCGGCGTAAAGAACCTCGGCCAACTCTGGTGCCTTGGCATGATAGCGGCCAGGCAAAAACATGGCGAACTTGGTGCATCGGTCGACCACCGTGAGAATCCCATCCACACCGGTCTTGTGCTTGGGGAACGGCCCGGTAATGTCCATGGCAATCACTTCCCTCCGGCGTAAGGGGACTGGTAATGGTACCAACTCGCCGTACGGACGATGGTTGCGGGATTTGCAGCATCGGCAAACCTCGCATGACTCGCAATAGCGTGTGACGGCGCCGAGAAGGCCGGGCCACCAAAAGCGCTCGCGAAGTCGGCCAATCGTTCGATTGACTCCAAAGTGTCCGGTGGCGGGAGCATCGTGGAACTCGCCAATGAGCAATGTACGCAAGTGAGAGTCACTCAGTATGCAAAGAAGGTCCTTCCCCCGCGTGTGGACAAGCAAGTACCCCTCTTGGATCCGGTAGTGAGAAGGTGTCGGAGTAGGAGAGGAGCAATTTGCGTACTTGTCCCGAAACTCAGGGTTGGCTTGGTAGCGGCGGATGAAACTGTCCTGCAGATCGTCGTCGATCTCGAAGGTCGAATAGACTGCGGTACAATGATCCGGACGTCGTGAAAGAGCATCCGCAAAAAGGTTAGACTTCCTTGGAATGTGATCGGGAAAGAAGTCGAATTGGTCGATGAAAGCCATCCAACGGGCGATGGTGCTATTGACGGTGTCTTGGGTCTTGTAGAAGACCAACGGATTGTTGTTCGTTACCCATTGGAATTGACTTCGACCAAGGAGGGAGTGCCGCCACCGCTTGAGCGCGTGGACAAAGGCTAGGAGCTCCTTGCGTGCATCATCAATGGAGTGCACGACGGACACTTTCTTGCTGAAGTACTCGACCGGGTGCCAGTCCACGCCGTCGTGTTGTTTGAGGACGGCACCAATGCCATAGCCGGACGCATCCGTAGTGACGCGCGTTGGCAATTGCGGGTCGTAGATTTGCAAGACCTCCGCGAACAATAATGCGGCTTTGAGAGCCAAGAATGATTCCCGCGCATCCTTCCCGAAGTCAAACGGTCGATCCTCACATTGAAGCTTCGTCAAGTGGGCCGCGATCTTCGAGTATCCCTTGATAAAACGTTGGTAGTAGCCGGCAAGGCCAAGGAACGAACGAACATCCGTGACGTTCCGCGGCTTCGGCCACTCTTGGATGGCTTGAATCTTGTCCGACAACGGACTGATGCCCTCCGGTGTGACAAAATGGCCCAAGAATTCCAGCTCTTGCTGGACAAATTCGCACTTGTCGCGGTTGGCTTTGTACTTGGCGCGGCGGAGCGTCTCCAACACTCGTCGAAGATGCCCACGATGATCCTCCAATGTCTGGCTATAGACGAGAATATCGTCTAAGTAGACCAGCACGAACCGGTCCAACATTGCACGAAACCCGTTGGTCATTGCCGCTTGAAAGGTCGTCGGGGCGTGGGTGAGGCCAAAAGGCATGACCACCCACTCAAAATGCCCATACTGCGTCTTGAACGCAGATTTGTAACGATCATTCGGTCGGATCGAGATTTGAGGATATCCAGACTTCAAATCCAAGACTTCAAATCCAACTTAGAAAAATACTTTGCGCCGCCCAATCGCTCAAGAAAGTCGTCGATGCGAGGAAGAGGCCCCGCATTCTTGACGGTTTGCGCGTTGAGCTTGCGGTAGTCGATACACAATCGTAGATCCTTGTTCTTCTTCCGGACGAAGAGAACTGGTGCTCCATATGGGGAGCTACTAGGGCGGATCCAGCCCTTGGCCAACAAGTCGTCGAGTTGTGCGCGAAGGACCTCAAGCTCCTCCTCGCTCATCCGATAGATGCAACCTTTCGGCTGCATGGCACCGGCCTCTAGGATGATCTCGTGAGAGATCGGTCGATTCGGCACCACACCGGTAGGTGACTCAAAGATGTCGGCGAACTCGTCCAACAACCACACCACCCGGGGGTCCGAAGACAAGTCCGTGGGTGAAGAGTCGGCTACCGCGACAGTCCGTAGGAAACATAGGCCGATTTCCTCGGGCTGCTCGTAAGCGCAAGTCGCCCGGAATGATTTGGCCGTCACCACTTGGCACCGGATCGAAGGGTGCGGAAGAGGAATAGTACACGGTACTTTAGCGCCGAAAGCGTCCCAAACGGTAAGAGTCCGCCGTTGGAAGTTGACCGTGTGATCCGCACTTGCAAGCCAAGGCGTTCCCAAAATAATGTCGAAGTCCATGTCCAAAATGTCGAACGTCACCGGTTCGCATGCATGGCCTCAATGTAACAGTCGAGAAGTTGTTGCGTCTTTCCATTCGCCAACTTGATCGCCGTCAGGTTTGCCTTCCTCCGAACTTGTGCGCCAAGGCCAGCCCTTTGCATAAAGGCTTGGCTCATGAAATTGTGAGACGCACCGCTATCCAGCAAAGCGATGCAGGACGCTTGCCCAACCTGGATGCGGACATACATGAGCGGTGCGTTGTTGTCATCGTACCGCTGCGTGCGAAACTCGCGGGTCACCTTGGTAACATACGTAAGGATGTCCTCCACAGCAGCTTCGTCATCCGTTGGCGAAGTTGGTGGTGCATAGAAGGATAGATACGTGTGGAGATGAGCGCATAATGGTGCGCATTGCGGTCCCGGCAAGTGGCCCGTGGTCGGGAGAGGAAGCTATGCGAAATCCTGTGACGTGAGCGGGTCCAAGACCTCTATGTTGAACTCGCGCGCCGAATCCCGTGAAGAACCACTTGAAGACGATAAGTCGCCGCTGTCGGACGGAGCAGATGCCGCACACACGTCTTGTCCTTGAGCATGAGTACCCAGCGTAGGAACGAGCCGAGCAGCATAGTCCTCATAAGAATATAGAAGAGGACTATCGACTTCCGCATGTGCCTCGGAACGAAGGGTGGTCACCTGCGAAGCGACCGGTTCCGAAGGCGTCGAGAGTGTCGTCGATTCACTCCCGGCGGTGCTCAGTTTCCCGACTTGCCCTTGCGTTTCGATGGGCAACCCACTGTGTCGTGGAGATCACTGTTACACAATAAACAATAGCGGAATCTCGTGTGTAGCTTGTATGCATGTTCGGAGAGACCGTAGTGGGACCATGGGGCTGGAGCTGTTGCGCTGGGCCCGGGGATAGATGTGATGTTTGTCTTCGTCTTGCCGCGTCCTCGGCCTTTGCCGGGGCGGCCACCATCCCGGGCGGCTGCGAGTTTGTCCCCTTCATTGGCAGACACGGCCTCGCTAGAAGGGTCGGTTGGCGTTGCCGCCGCGACCACGGCCACTTTCAGTCGATGCTGTTCTCTGCTCAGGCCTGTCGCAGACGAACGGTTGAGGTTCTTGGCCTCCTTATTCGTGACAATGATCTGCGCGGCCTTGTTAAAAAGCTCCGTCGTTGTCGTCAGGGTGTCCTCGACGTGAGTCAAGGCGTTGCCTAACGCCGGACACGACCTCGTGATGAAGTAGTGTTTGACGGCCTTGAAGCCCATCTGAATGTATGCGACGGATGTCAAGCGTTGGTACTCGGCAATCCAGTCAACACTCAGCAGCGTGCCTTGTTCGAAGGTCAGCAATTTGTCCATTGCCTTGATCTCCGGCGGCTCTACTTGGAACCCTTTATGCCACGCCGCCTTTAGATCATCCCAGTTGATCTTGGTGTACAAGTCGGCAGCTACCACCCCGTACTTGGACAAGAGATTGTCCAACCATGCTTGGCACGCGCCCCCCGACCGAGAGTATAAGTACGCGTGTTTCTTGTCCTCGTTGACGTGATGTAGCTGCAACTTGAGTTCGAACTTGCGGAACCACGGAATCGGGTCCGTCTTCGTCGAATCGCAGAAGATCTCCTGATCAGCGAACTTTGGAGTCGTCTCGCGTGTGCCGAACTCGGGTTGGCGGCGGCAGCACAGATCCGTTGCTCCAGTTGTTGCGTGTGGCGGTTTGTTGTAGCTGCGCGTCGTCCTTGAGGGCTCCGATGTCGATCTCCAATGCATTGAGGTGATCGGAGGTGTTCGAGGAGCTGGCAACAGGGGCGTTGACGGGTTGTTGCTCCAGCTACTGGAGGCGGTTGTTGACTTGATCAAACACCCGTTTGTGCGTCTGAACCGCGTCGTCGAGGCTTTGGATGTCCTCCTGCTGTGCAATGCACGTTGCAAGGAGATCCGTGAAATGGGAGAGGAGTAGAGCGATCTTGCTTTCACTCTCTTCCATCCTACCATTCTCAGCCTCGGCCCGCCAATCCGCTGCCACTGTGAGCAAGGCTCGCTCTTCGTTGAATATCTTCTCGCGTCGTTGACTTCGTTCTTCATCGGCAGCCTTTGCTGCTGCCTCGTCTTGCTGGCGCTGCTGTTCAATTGCCAACAGACATGCCTTCTCGGCGTCCTCTGCCTTCTTCTTCTCTGCGGCTGCTACCTCATCCGCCCGTTTCTTGGCTTCGGTAATCAAAGCCAGCATCCGGGCCTGATAGGCCTCGGCCGTTTCCCCGGACTTCTGATCCATGCCGGCTGTTTGTAAGCGAGTGAGCATAGACCAGGCCGGAGGACTGCTGACGTGGCACTTCCTGCTGCTGACGTGGCACTGTTCGGCTGCTGACGTGGTGCGGCTGTCGGTTGATGTGGTCTGCTGACGTGGCCTGCTGACGTGGCAACTAACCAATGCTGCCGCAGGGGGTACCCGGAGACAGATAGAGAAGATAAGACCAGAGGGGGCAACAACATAGGTGGGGAGGGGTGGGTGGGACAAATCGCCCAGATAAGGAGCCACTAATCAAAAAGAAAAGTTTGAACTTTGCAAAAAAAATACTCGTTTGCAGGTTCAGTAAATCTCCCAATTCCCTTGAAGTGCGAAATTACCAATGAGAAAAAAATTTCGAACTTTCAGATAGTAAAAAATAATAGCAGATAGTAAAAATTATTATCAGATAGTAAAAAATAATAGCAGATGAGAGTACACGCAGTTTGGAAAATGGTAACTGTAAGGGGGATTTCCCGTACCGTTTTCAAATCTCGAAAAAACGAATTTCGGAAATTCAAAAAAATATTCCGGATTTCCAAATAACGGGAAATTGCAAAAGGAAATCAAAATTTTCGAAAAAAAGATATTCCGGATTTCCAACAACAAAATTTTGAATTTTCAGAAGAAAAAGGAAAATGGAAATTTATTAATAAAAGGCGAAAGGATAGTACGCCCTCTGAGCTGGGCACGCAGCATCAGGAAGGTGACCCTATGGGTAATCTGGAAGGAAAGATGTAGCAGATCAATTGAAGGACTATCAAATTCAAGGGACAAGGTATGGAAAGAGTCCAAGTCGATTATCCAAGCAGAGATATTGTGCAGATGGAGGAGAATCAAGCTGAAATGGCCCGAGGACGAAGAGCAGCGAAAGAAAGTGAGATCGAAATTTAGCAGGAACTGGCTGATTAGCGGTAAGGTGGCCGAGATCCGGGAAGACCGGRTGAGCTGGAAGGACTGGCACAACTCAATTCCGGATAGGATTGTACGGCAACAGACACCAACGGAGGAAGCAACTATGACTTGAAGGGTTGGGGTCGAAGGGGGTCTCACCGGATTAGGTTGCAGGAGACCGCTTCCACAGGGTCTACCTGCCTTGTCACCTCAGCCGTTCGCCACAATCCAGCACGGGCCGCTTGTGGCTCTAGAGGAAGAAAGGAGAGCGAAACTGCGTACGTCAGTAAGAACCGTCCGAGCCCACGAGAAGCGCCGCCGATTGAAGATCGAAAAATAAGGGAAGGAGGGCCGGGAATAAAGAGGGTGTAGACTGGGGAGGGTCTCATAGAAAAGTGACGGCAGTATGAGGATACAGAGGGATCCGGTCGACACATCACTGGAAGGCGGAAGCAAGGGAGGAAAAGTTATTAATTAAGGCATCCAAACAAGGGTAGGGTTTAGGGTTTAGGGTTTAGGGTTCCACAGAACTCAGAGGATGGGGGAGAGTAGCTGGAACTAAGGAAATCACAGCAAATAAGGGCGGGTTGGGGATGAGGGACAGCATGAGCGGGCAACAGCACGGGAGGAACTCTTTCTAGGTATAACAGATAAATCTGGCAGGACTGCGACAGTAGATCTGAGAGGGAAGAGCGACTCTGGGCAAGCTGACAGTCAATCCTCCACCCAACGTGGAGCAATCAATGCTGTTCAGGGGTCCTCCGGCCAGACGGGAGGAAGCGTGAGTTGGTTGCTGTGATGTATCATACTTTGCCTTGCCGGTGGAATAGGAACCGGACTGTCGCTCCCCAGAATGGAAGGAGTC